TTTTGAACGTTAATTGTGGTCCTGTTGTGGAACGCTATAGAAATGGAGAAACGTCATAGGCTTTATCCACATTTTTAGAGCATTTCTATTGGTGGATATCTCACCAAAGTATCTCAACATGAAACAAAAAATTATACTAGTATTATAAGAGCAAAGACAATGGACAGTTTCGGCACAGTTCTTTAGAAAAAAAAAGAAAAAGAAAAAGATAAAAATAGTGATATGGCAGAGTTTTTAGACAGAGGCGTCTCTTCCTGTAGAGGTTTTGGATAGGATTCTGAAGGCAAGCTGGCCACATGTCACCATATGATTCCTCCAATTTTTTTTTTTTTTTTTTTTTGAAAAACTCATAATTATTTTTGAAAATATTTTTCTTTTATTTTTAAAGAGCCTGTGACCAAATGTCCATTGCCTTTGCTCTGATGAATGTGTATTTCAAAATGTTGACCCAAAAATATCTTAAATATAATACTAATATATTATAATGAGTGAGTATTTCAAAATATTGACAAACAGTGCCGTGCGAAGGTTAAGGGGGGCTCATGGCAAATTTTTTAAAATGGGGCCTTTATATTATAATTATTTATATTTAGATAATTATAAAATAAATGAAAAAAAAAATCAAAATAACACTCTAGTCTAAAACTTAAAACTCATCTGGTTTGGTTTTGTAATTTCATTTTTTCTTTTGAAAAAACAAAAAAAAATAATAATAAAAGGGTATAAAAGTAGACTCCAACTTGGGTTATGCCCTTTGTTATAACATGTCAAAGCCACTAGACTACTATAACTTCAATAAAAGTGGGGGCCCCTATAAACTAATACATTTTGGGGGCTCAGTGCAAATGCACTATTGGAAACAAAGGGAGCACGGCTCTGTTGACAAACCCACCCAAAGTATCTCAAATACACTTGATTGTGATACATTTTTCATGACTTTCTACAAACTTGCTAAGTAAGTAGAGATTACATTTGGTTGAGATTGACTAACGCTTCAGATAAGAATGGGTAAATGATTTTGGGTTTGCTCATGAATTGATCGGGGTTGATAGAAATGAGATTGTGACCATTAGGCATGCATGATCACATAGACGAGACTACGAGAGGGACAGTCCAATATCAGTACTGGACAAAACCTTCATGTTTCGCTCTTCTTCTTAGACTGATCCATAGTGAAATTTTCATTAATCAATTTAACACTAGACTAATGCCCGCGCATATGCGCGGGTTTTGTTGTTGTTAAAGTTTTTTAAAAATGTTCGAAAACAATTTTAGATTTGCGATTATTAATATTATAAAGTATAATCCAATAATATCCATATTTAATTCCTATTTGTTATTTTCAAACATATATTTTTTTTTTATCATACCACATGTTTATGAACCATTAACTCTCTTTGTTTACTCACGACCACATAAAACGGACTCTGATTTTCCGCCATCAATTTTTGGTAGATCCATTTCTCCATATATTAGAAGAATTTAGATATTTAATACTCCCTCGGTTTCAAATTAGTTGTCATTCTGGCAAAATGTATCTGCAATTATTTGGATGTATGTGGATGTGTTTTAGAGTTACTGACCGGAAAGAATAGGAAAAGTCATGCCACAATATCAATTAATGGAGTGTTGATACAACGTGGAAAGTGAAGCAACTGACGGTTTTGAAATATATTATAACTATAATGACTAAGAATGCGAAGAGACTGCTCTCTTTAAAAATTTTGCCACATGTCAATCATATGGAGATAGTTGGCCTCAATTCATATATATGATTTTAACCAATTTTTTTTTTCCATAAATCTGCTCCTTCATAAACCAGCCGGTTTTGTTAAGTCATGCATCTCACAATCCAGCTATTTGGGTCGTCTTGGACCAAGTAGTTTCTATATAATGTTTTGTTCTTTTTTGGATAAAAAAGGATAGAAAACTCTAGCAAAATTCCTCGTTCAATTTCTTTTGCAAAACCAATAGGGAAGTTTACTAGAGTAGCATAAATTTTTACTAGGGTTTGACCCGCGCCTGCACGGGGTGATGGTTTCTGAATTTATATTTTAATTAAAAGATATTTTTTTGGTAATTTATTAAAAGATGTCTATTTAAATATCCCAAAATTTTATGTGACGGGTTTTTAATCTTTGTTAGATTATTGCCCTCGTTTATTCGTTTATAATATGAAAATTAAGCATTTTAAACTATTTTTTAAAAAGGTAAATATATTAAAGTCTTGAACGTAGCCATATATTAAATATGATAGATTTAAGCAAGATACATGAAACTCAAATGACTGCAGTATAATAAGTTAGTTTAAAGAACAAAAAAGTGAAAATAAAACATTATTCTTTACAAAAATGTATACTGTATTTCATAAGATAAGAAGTCTTAGCTGTGTGCACACATATTATAATTATTATTATTTTCTTTCTTTTAAAACTAAAACACGGATTAAAATCAATTTTTTTTTCTTTTTTTCAAAACTAAAACATGGATTAGAACTATTTTTTTTCTTTCTTTCAAAACTAAAACATGCTTTATTATAATTTCAAAACAAATCAACCAATAAGAAGACAATCTGCATGATCTAAATTGTTAAAATAACAAAAATATAATTAACTTTATATTGAAAGTTGAAATAGATGGAATAATTGTTACACTAAATGAGGTTATATACTAAACAATTTACATTATTTTGTTTTAAAAAATTCAAATCATAGCATATACAGAAAAAAAATTAGATTTTCTTTATTAGTTTTTTTATATTGTGATTCATATTATTTCATAAAATAAAGTTGAACAAAGATGATAGGGATATATAATGATTTTTAAAAAAATATTATGATAGAATTCAATTGAATTTCATAACTTTCTTATTTACTTATTTTCGTAATTGTCAATTAAGGAAAGAAAATAATAATAAATGGATGGTAAGCATAATATGCAATGACACAGTTTGTAATCCCTAATATATTAAAAGAGAAAACACTATAAAATAAACCTTTGTCTCATGTGTTATTAACAGAAATGTCATGCTGATGTGTCAACACCAGGTTCACTTTCAAGGTTAGTTTTAATTAAGACAAACATTACTAGACTAATTACATGTTATGCCATTCATATTTGGTTAGAGAATGAAATATATATGATTAATTTAGTCAGAAAAATAATTATTAATGAAAATTATTTTCTTTCAGTTTCCTTATTTGGTAATGACGAAAATTTATTTATTAGTCAATCAATCAGTAAAATATGGAAAGTTTTATTCAATTGTATTATATTAATTGTTTAAAAATTAATTTATTCATCTATCATTTTTGTTTAGCTTTACTTTCAAGAATAAATTATATCATCACATCAAAATATTTAAAAAAAAAATTAGTTTTTTTCTACATATGCTATGGTTTGAATTTTTAAAAATGAAGCAAATCTCTAAAAATGTTAAATGTCCCACATGATTATATTTTGGGATAATAGTTCAAAAACCTATTATAAAATAGGATCCAAATAATGATCAACCATAATCACAAATAGGAAAGAAAAATTTACCATGTTTGGAAATCTTTAAAATTTCTTTTATTCGATTTAATTTGATTCTTTAATTGAATTAAATAATTAAATCGTATTTTTAATATTTTGGTTTGATCAAAATTTTAAACGTAATAAATTCTAATAACTTATCATATAAGTTAAATTATTTTAGTTATTTAAAATTGATAAAAACATAAAATATATATGCCATTTTATATTTATCAAAATATAAAATTATTTTAAATGTATTAAAATTTAATATATATGTGGGTTCGGAAAGGGAGAAACTGTTGTTAAAGCAAATGTTAGATTACCACACTGTAAACGATGACAAAAATCAAACCAGGCTAAAAAAATATGCATCACTCAAAATTTCGTCTAATGTAAATTGACATTTTTTTAATTGTCTAACACTCTATGTTCCTAAAATTGTATGTAAATAGACATCTTTTAATAAAATCAAATTGAGAAAATATCACCCGTGCAAGGCGCGGGTCAAACTCTAGTTTCTCTAGTAAAGCTTGTCTTAATTAGAAATTAGGCTGAGAGTGAAACTGGTGATGACACATCAGCAGTGACACTCTTGTTAATAACACAATGGACAAATATTATTTAGTTAGTGTTTTCTCTTTAATATATTAGGGATGTTAATTACTAGATTAACTCAAATCATTTTAAAATTACTAATTTTAATATTATACCTATATTATCCTTAAATGTTTTGATAAGAAAAAATGTAATTACATAATTATCATTACTATTTATTTGTAGGTCATCAAGTTTTCTTTTTTTTACGCCACTAATCTGATAAATCTGTCAATTTATTGACGACAGAGTTTTTAATGTTCGATAGATTTAGTTCGAATGGCAAATTTTTCATTTAGATGACAGATTTATCTTATGTAACGAAACGACAGATTTACCATGTCTCACAATTTTGTTTACTTGGCGGTAAGGCTATCTATATACATCATATCACGCCGTGGACCATTTTTCAGCAATGAATTATTGTTTTCTTCTTTTTTTTTTTTTTTTTTGGTAAGTCTTGTTTTCTTGTTTATCTTACGTTTATTTTCCTGGTTTTCGACTAACGTATTAATTTAATTTTTAATCCAAAACTTACAACTGATTGCAGCAAATATTAATATTATGGAAAAATCAGCCCGTAAGAAAATGCTTTTAAATTAATATCGCCGGTACCATCATATTATCCAATCAAAGCTGCTTATGCATATATATGATATAAAATAAAATACTGTAGACCCAATCTTTCTCTTAACTGTAAACAGGTCTAAACAAAACAATTTTCATTTACTGTATATACAAATTTGTTCGAGACCAAATCACATTCAACTGAGCTGATGACTTTATTTGGTTTTGATAAGGTTGCATGTTTATTTACAAAGGAGCATAACCAAACGAAAACGCGAACCAAAATAAAAAACGTTGAAGAATGGTGAGAAAATGAAGATCAATCACATGATGGCACAGAAATTAGGGTTTTCCTCACTGAACATAGAACTAGCGTTCTCGTCGATAAGACCCGAATAAGGCCGTTCCTGACGGTAACCATGGTCGTGTCCGTGGCATCCATGCTCGTAGTAGTTGTAATTACTCACTTTCTCACCATTCTTCGACATGTTGATTTTTTTGCGAAACTTCTTCTGGAAGTACCTGTCGTGAAATCCATTAGATTCCGCGTGGTAAGGCCGCGACCATAGGCACACCTCTCTCCCAGCTGTAACATTTCTTACAACTTTCAGAAGCTTCTTCGGCTCCACCGAACCGGTCACCGTCACTTTCTGCTGTTTCGCATCTATCTGAACATCGTGGACTCCTGTTCATCATTCCAAGGCTTAGTAAACAGGTTTCTTGGGTGACAAGAAATAGTTTCTAATGAAATGTTAGTTTAGGACTTTAACCCCTGTTTTCATTAATTAATTACCCCTAATCTTGTCAAGAGCCTGCTTAACTTTTTTCTCGCAACCAGGACAGTCCATGGGCACCTCCATCTCCACTACCTGCGAACACAAACACATATTCAATAAAACTATATACGAGTATTCATAACAGTTAGTCAGTGAATTGAATAGAGGAAGTTACTCACCGTCGTCATCTCTACGTTATAGCTCAAAGAAACCTTATAAATTAGACTTGAGGCAGTTTGGTTGATGGATGACTTGGAGAGAAACACACATATAAATATGCATGACACAAATTGAGAACTTTAACTGAGAAGATCTTTAAAGGTCCATAAAATAATATTTTTATATTTTGTTGCGTCTACAAGAAAATTTTGTGTAAATGCATGGAAACTACCTTGAAGTCAAAAGCCTATGTGACCGTCGGGTTTACAATATATATATGACTTTACTTGAAACGGATCGATCAAGATTTGACAGATATCGATTTAGTTATTTGCCAACATCATGAGATGACGAATTTGTGTTTCTTTAATCCCATGACGATTTAAACTACACGAATTTTAAAGAAAGTTGTAAAAAATAAACATATGTAATTATGTATTGATATATAGCTAGTTACTAGTTAGTTTCAAATCATAATTTTCTCAAACTGCATGTATGGATTCATTCAGGGATTATATTCTAGACTGGTTTAATACAAATTTTAGTTTGACCAAATTTGGACATAAAAAAAATTAGCTTATGATGCAAATGTTTATTAATCCATTAAAAAAAATAAGCTCAAAAGAAAAATTAATAGTCAAATTATGTTACTAATATGATGCAAATTACAAAAGATCAAAAGATAAAGAGAAAATGAGCTTTGTAGAAATTAAGCTTTAAATACTTAGACTTATATAATTGACTTACCCTGTTATCTTATCTTATTATTTTTTTATTGACTTATATCTGGTAAGCTTATCAGTGGAGTAATATTCTGAATATAGTAAGTGAGAAATTTACAATGGGAAGATTTTTATAAATACCTTGATGTCTACAGCTTTGAAATTGTTGAGTATCTTACGTTAAGAGGAAATTGATAAGAAATGCATAATCCATGCTAGTAAATTTCTCAAGGAAACCTAGACCGAAATAAATTCTACTACTATGATTTACCACATGGTAAAAAGTGAAATATTATTCTGGGTCGTTGAACCAATTACCTAAAGCCCAGGCTTTTCACAGTGATAAGGGAACCGAGAATCACATGTATTAGGTTTCATATTGATCATGATCAAAGTAATTAATGAATCAATAATCCAACGGACACTTGTGAAATCTGATTTCAGCCATTATTTTCTTGGTCTTAGGTCTTGAACCAGTCTGTGTGTTTACGAGAATACGTCGAATACTTAATCAATTTAGATAAGAATTTTTATCAAAATCTGATGGCTACAAGCCTACAACCTGCATACGTCAACGAACGGTAAAAATGACCAAAACGATTCTACATCACTAAAGATATAGCCTATTTATTTTCTGGTAATTAAAACTCACTATTATAGACTCATTTTGGACATTTTTGAAGTTTCTGCATGATATGCATATTCACATCACATTGACTATGTCATGGTAAATGGTGTACATGTGAGAAGCCACCTGATACAGTTTATGGCCTCGAACTGAGGTGGCCAAAATATTCATCATCAACCAATTCATCCTAAAAATCATTATGACGAGCATTCTAGCCACTTGTCCCATGCTTGGATTAAATGAAGAGATACTCTATATGAACCTTTTGTTTTTTTTTTAAAGACTTTGACTCAACCACAAGGGGTTCAGGCCAGACCCCCCACTAGATCCATAATTATGATTTATTCAGAGGTAAAATCAAGATTTAACTTATATTCCCTTCGAATATACATTGTTCTAAGATTTTTTCTTCTTTTAGAATAGAAAATATTTTCGAAATTTTAATGTATGTTTTACAAATTTCAAGAACCGAAGTCTTGAATTTCTATTGGTTAATATTTATTACAAAATTGGCCCACCGACTAACGACGTCACGAGTTATGATTATAAGTTACGATATAATAATTTATGAACCATAATATCTATTTAACAAATCTAAAATTATATTATATTAATATTGTACAGTTAATTAATTTTAAAATAAGTTTTATTTTTATATGGTATATTTCCTAATTTCATTCGGAAATATTATTAACTTTTTAGATAATCTCCCGGACCTCTGATCTATATTTCTGTTACTTTGGAATATTATAAATATATATATAGATATCTACGTATAAGAAAAGGAAGGATTATAACGTTTTGCATTAATCCATATATATTGTTTTCTAATTTTTTTGGTTTTACTGATTACGATTTCTCTAGAAGATAAATATGTATATATATATACGGGAGTCGTGTTGTATCATTCATCATATGTTATTTTATATACGGTTTCTTCACGTTACCATATGATGCAGCTACTACCTTTTCATCTCCTATGCGACGACGTTATTATTTTCCACACAGACGATTAAGAACTTGTGAAACCTGCAAAAACTAAATTATAAAACCGGCTGGGTGACCTTTCGGGAAGTGATTTTTGGGAACATGTTGTTATTAAAATTTAAACCTAATACACAAAATTCTAAACTCTAAATCCAATAAACTAAACCCTAAACCTAAAAAACTAAACCCTAAACCCATAGTTAATCGTGCTTAGGCTGGAGTAGTGGAAGGATGGGTGACCTCCCATGAAGTGATTTCCGAGACCATGTGAGTGAGGCCAAAATACGGAGAAATGTCGGGAGTTGATTGCAGGGATAGTAAACAAGTCACTAGAGCCTCTCTAACATAGCGCACCGGCTGTCATACAGGGGTGAGGCCCACGGGCCAAGAAAGGACGTGGGTGACTTACCAGGAAGGGCGGTGGAGGCGTTATAATTTGGTATCAGAGCCAAACTCAGATAAGAGTGTGGAGTCAAGTGGAGTGGCCTTGACTCACACCGTCATGGGTGACAATCTAGGTGCGCAAAGAGGTCGTTGCGCGCAGTGAGTTGGGTGAATTGTAACATCCCAGTTTGTGATAAATGAGGAGAGGCTTAAGAGAATTAATTTAGCTACCTATGTCAACAAAGTGCACTTACCTTTTCGGTCGAAGGTCCATAAGTAACTCCAAAGTTAAACGTGCTTGGGCTTAAGTAGTGGAAGGATGGTTGACCTTCTGGGAAGTGATTTCCGAAACCGTATGAGTGAGGCCCAAACACAGGGAAAGGTCGGGTGTTGATTGCAGGGTTAGTAAACAAGTCATTGGAGCCTCTCAAAAATAGCGCACCGGCCGTCGGACAGCGGTGAGACCCACAGGCCGTGAAAGGACGTGGGTGACTCATCGATAGGGCTGGGCATAATGGGTACTTCGGTCTGTTCCGGGTCGGTTCTTTTGGTTATGGGTCTTATGGTTATTTAAAATATTTATCTAAATAGGAATCACTACAATTTCGGGTCGGTTTCGGGTCGGTTCTTCTCGGTTTCGGGGCTAATGGTTCTTGCTTGTAAATAACTGTGAAATACCTGAAATGTTTTGGATGTCAGTCGGATTTGGTATATTTTGGGGTTTTTACCCGTTTCCACCCGTTATAACTTAATTTTACCCGAATTTCTCACTTTTGAACCATAAAAATCCAAATATTCATCAAATTTAATAAGACAGAACCACACAACACAAGTTTGAACTTTCAACTTTCAAATATTCAAGCATTCAAGGTTTAAAATACTAAAGGGACAATAACAAAAGAAATAACAAGACATAAGTTTCAAAGTTAAGGAACAAATAAGACAAGTCGGATCTAAATGGGTATCCACGGGTAAACGGGTAATAACCCGGAACCGAGCCGAGAACCGTGGATATAGAAGAAAAATAACCAACAGGTGATTTAGACCTAAACCAATACTAACCGGAACCGGATTTGTTTCGGGTCGGTTCCTGGTCGGGTCCTTCGGGTCGGTTTTAATGCCCATGCCTACTCATCGGGATAGGCAGTTGAGGCGTTATAGTATGTATATTATATTTATATTTACACTAAATTTTTACAAATATTATTTTACTTACTCTTAAGAGCAATCATATTTTATTTAATATTTTTCAAAAATTCTTTCAAAAATTATACAAGAAATTCCGCGTATACGCATGGCCTTATCTAATTCAAATATGATAAGAAATAGTTTATGCAATTGTACTGGTTACACATGCAACAACGCCAAAAACTTGATGTACTCAAGTAAACGCCAAAAATCTTATAAACCTCTAAATAAGACGAGAAGTGCACAACAATCACTAGTATTTAAAGGTAAAAAACTAAAGCCTAAAATTTATCTTTTTTTAACTTTTGTTTAGTTACTAGTATGCCCTCCGCACAATCCTCCTATATATTGTGTTGTTATTTCACTATCGTATCTTATCTTATCTCTCTTTTAGGAGAATGGAATCCGTAAATCCAAATTTTATCTTATCTTATCTTATCTCTCTTTTAGGAGAATAGAATTCATAAATCCAAATTTTAGATTTCGTTGTCTAGTTTGTAAGAAAATCTTGGAAACTCAACAAGATTTAGTCTCACACTTCTATTATTTTCACAGTAATTTGTTCTCACAATTCATAAAACAAGGCATGTCGGCCCACATCTCTCCCTACTTTTTCAACATTGCTGCTTTCCAAAACCCATATCCTAATATTTTTCAAAATCGAAACATGATTTCTCTCCCTGATGTATACAGTTTGTGCCTGATAACAATAATACCGATCTTCTTAACCATCTAATGCAGTCCCAATTGGAGCCGGAGCTATTGCATTCACAATTTCAGTCACAAACCTTGTAATCTCATATGTCACAAGAAGTGGTAATTCAAATTTTGCCATTCATTGAGCAATTGGAGCGAGAGTGGTCAGAACCTATTGCGAAAGACAACATAGAGGATCTGACAGATCTGGAACTAAAGCTTTGAAACCTTTAAATTTATTGTCGTAATTTAGAATCTGTTTTTTTTTGTGAGTTTTATTTTATTTTCCATACGTAATGTGATGTTTTCTTTGGTTCAAAATTATTAAAATTTGCAAAATGTTTTTATTTTGCTAAATACTTAAGCATAAATTTGGGGTTTAAACATCATTTCTCAAAAGAACACAATAGTGTAGTTTAGTGTTAGATAGTATGAATTTCATTTAGTTGCATATATATCTCCTTGGTGGCTAATTTATGTTATATTTATTTTATAATTATGGATTTCTTTTAACTTTAAAATAGTTGAATACTCAAATGTTTTCAATGCAAACATTTTAGGACTTTTTGTTTTTACCAAACTTGTCGTAGTAATAAAATATTACCAAACTTACATTTTCTTAGTTAAAATTTAGGTTGATAACTAAAAAAACAGTAATTTTTTGGGGGTTTAATTTCTTAGAATATGAAATCAGAAAAACTGTTGTGAGAAAAAAGATATATAAACAAGGTTCATTTGCAGATATACACATCCATATAGAAAAAAATGTATTTATGATCTAAAATTGGCAGTTCCCACCCCCCCCCCCCCAATAATTTTTGCAGATAATCTGGAGTAGTTTGCGAAACATGTAGTAATTATTTGAAATTTATGTGTACGATAAATTCAACAATACTATTGTATATGTATTTAGGTCAGATTACGCATGTGAAGTTCATCATTATTGAAAAACTCATGGTTATGAAATAGGTGGTGATCGCAAAGAGAAAGTCTCAGTACAAGAAAAATACCCCTTTTGCGACGGAAATTCCCATCGCAAATCTTTCGTCGCAATTACATCTCCCTCGCAAATCCGTCGCAAGCTTGCGATGGAAATGTCTCCATCGCAACATTGCGAGGGATGCCGTTTCATCGCAAGTGTGCGATGGATTTGCGAGGAAAAACTATATGTCGCAATGTTGCGAGGGATCACCTTTTGTTCGCTTGTTCCGCCCTAGCCCGCTACCAGGTTCACGAGAATCACCTTTTCCGTAGTCCATGTAACTGTTTCGTTCCCCCATCTGTCATACATCAAAAACAATATTAAAAATAAAAATGAAAAAAAAAACAGAAAAAAAAATATTTTACAAAAAAAAAATATATCAACATTCAACAAGTTATGTACCAGTAATTACCAATCATATTTAAAAAATTATCAATCTCAAATTTTATGATAAGTTTATTATAATTTTAGTAAAATTATGTAACAATTTTTGAAACATTAATTGTAACAATCGTAACTTTATAACAATTTTAAAAAACTCAATTCAAACAATTTTAACTTTCAAATATCATTTCTAAAATAATAGATTTAATTAGCTAATTATTTTCAATGATCTAACAAACTTATATACAATCTTGTAATACAATTTAATTAAAACAATACTAAATCTTACATTATCTAATCTAACATCTAAAATTTTCTATTCTTAAACTAATCTAACAACCTAACAAATTAAATTATAAAAAAAATAGTGAGGAAGAATTCATATTACTAGATCTGGGAAGTGAAGATGGCGGCAGTGGAGACGGCGGCGGAGAGGAAGAGATCTGCGGTGGTGGCGGAGAAGAAAGCTATCTGCGGCGGTGGAGAGCAAGCGATCTGCAGGGCCGGAGAGAGAGAGAGAGGAACACGGCTGCGGGAGAACAAGAGTGGTGGGAGGAGAAGAACACGGCGGCCGAGAGAATGAGAAGGATAAGCGGTGGCACGGAGAAGAGAAGGCTGCGGGAGAAAAAAAGGAGAGGGAGAAGAGAAGGAGAAGTGCCAAGAAGAGAAGGAGAAGAAGAGGAGAGGAAGAGATCGGGCGGAGAGGAGAAGAAGAAGAAGAGGAGAGGAAGAGATCGGGCGGAGAAGAGATGGAGAAGAAAAGAAGACTATGCGGCGGGCCAAAAAAAAAATTGGTGGGATTATATATAGAACTTAAATGCCATCGCAATTCCATCGCAACATTCTGACGGAATTGCGGCGAAATTAAAAAAGAAACCATAATCAAAGGACGTGGTCGTCGCAAATCCGTCGCAAATTGCGAGGTATTTGCGATGGAAAATATAGGAAACCCTAATTTGCGAGGGATTTGCTACAAAAATGCGACGAGTATGCGACGGATTTGCAACGTTTTTGCGACTAGTAATTAGGTTTAGGGTTTAGGGTTAAACAAGCTTGATTACGAAAGAAATGCCTATAAATAAGTGTATATGAGTATGAATTCAGATTTCACCAACAATTTCATTTGCACTATGTTATATGATCTCTCTTCTAACGAAAACTTATGTAATGTTTAGCTAGTACTTAGTGAGTTTCATTGTGATGGTTAAGTAATGATTTTGATAGAATATTTATTTTGCGTTTTTCACGATCATGTAGGGTTTTATACATTGTAATATAAAATTAACCACAATTCCTATATCATTCAGTCTATTATTTTGAAAATCCTACACCTTAAACCTTAATATACTCTAAACCATCGCAATTCTATCACAATTTTGCGATAGATTTGCCATGGCTGTGAGATTACCATCGCAATTCCATTGCAATATTTCTATGGATTTGCGAATAAAAGATACGCAAATTGCAACTTAATAGCAAATATGTCGCAATATTGCGATGAAATTGCGAGAATGCATAGGTTTTAATAAGGGTTAGAGTTTTGGGCTTTTAAAATAGCGTAATCAAGGAAGTAGATATTGAAATGTTTAACATAAATTTAATGAAATACAATGGCAAAACCCTTATTCAATCAAAGTCATTTTCAACATCATTTTCAAATACATAAGAGTTTGCATTATGCTCCATTTCATCATCATCAGTAGCGGTACAGGCTCCACGAACTCATCGGACTCTCCATCTTTACTTGAATCATCAACAACGTCTTACACTTCTTTGTTCATTGGCCTATGCTTTGCGACGGAAATATTTTAACGCAAAACCATTGAAAATTTGCTACGCTTAATTGGAAACGCAAATCTCTCGCACTTTTGTAACAGATTTGCGGTGGATATCTTTTTATTAGCAAATCTGTCGCAAGGTTGTCGCAAAGTTGCGACGGAAATGTTTCCATCGCAAATATTTCGCAAGAGGAGACGTTCAAACCTCAAATTATATTACCAAATGCATGAAATCGAATCAACGGGAAAATAAGAACAATTCATTAAGAATGCAAGCCACTTACTACGCTAAGCTAAAATTGTGTTTGGATTTTAAAGGATTTGATTAAAAAATAAATGATTAACACAAGAAAGCTAAGCAAATGCAAAACAAGATCAACGCAGTGCCCCCTTGGCCACTTAGCCATGCTTTAAATTTAGATATTTTTCCTTATGAAAGCTTTTGGGATGCTCACGGTTATCAAAAAAAAAAAGTTCAAAGCTAGCAAAATTAAACACAAAATGAAATGAACAAGATTGATTTAAGAGGAATGGATCATGGGGCCCCTTGCTTATCTAATAATAGAACAAGTTATTTGTATGACACATTAGCAATTTGGGGCTTTTTTGCAATTTACAAAGTAAACATAAGGCCTTTAATTTTTTTTGGCAGTTATTCTCTTGGTGCTGAAAATGGTAATATTCACTGGATTTACAATGACAACTTTTAGAAGACAGAACATAATGTTCTGTTCTCATGAGTCTGTATTGATTCATTACTGACTGGACATAAACTATTAATCACTAGTCTTCATTCTTATCTTTGCTGACTTAGAGAGGATAAACTTACCTTTTATAATACTTTTGTCAACACATATCATCCACAAAACAGCTTTTCTAATTAACCATATTTGGTAAAAAAAATACTGATTCCTTTTAGTTTCCTCTATAGATTGGACGTTATATTTTTTCTAACATGAGATATCTCTAAATACCTTTTATATGAGAAATTTATAAAACAGGCTTTTGAATATTAGGTAATTATTAGCATAAATACAAAACTCCTTTCAGAAAAATACTCCAATATATAATTCCTTTCTAAAAAAATTCTTACCAAATTTTTCTAATTTTCTATAAATTACTATTTTAAAATTATGTTAAACTAAATTAATTTATTTTCAGAAATATGAAATATATTACAGAAATGCATATTGTTTTTTTTTGTTTTTAAGTGAAACCAAAAAATATAATTTTTTTCATAAGGAAAAATATCTAAAAAGTAGAACATTTAATTACGTGTTGGGACATTTTTCTTTCCTAATAGATAAAAGCCAATATTGTATATGAATCATTTTACAAATATTAACATTAAGAATATATATGTGTGTCACAACAACATTTTAATCAAACTTTAAAACATTATCCAATCTTAGACACCTAATGTTCACAAATTAAATTAACTCAAAGGTTAACAACATCACGGGTCAGAACCAACACTTTTTAGTTCTGGTTTTTTTCGAGAGATAAAAAAAGGAATGGATATAATCAAAGGTGAAAATTTGTAATCATGGAAAAATTTACAAACGAAAAAAATAAAAGATGATAGGATCTACAAATTATAGATTTTGATATAATATTAATTTGAGAAAATATTATTTTAGTTTTCATTGGTACTGGTCACGATTAACTTCAAATTAAAAGAATTTGATTCGTTCATGTCATTCTATCAACAACACGTCAAAATTTAATGTAGTGGTCATGAAAATTAATTTAAAAATACCAATAAAATTAACAATTATCAATTTCATTAAAGAAAAATAACATACTTATTGTTCTTTTTAAAAAAACAAGACCTTCAAAATCTAATAAAGTGATCGAGAAAATATGATTCTTTCAAAATTAACAATATCCACAAAATCAATAACTATCAGTCTCATTAACAAAAAAATTCACACATTTTGGGACAAAAGTTGTCTCATAAAGACAATAATCTCTTGCGAGTAAAATCCATCATTTTTACCGCTCTAACCCAATTAGCCTAAATGAATGACCCAAAAATGAAGAATCATATATTTATTTTATCTCATACTTATAAAATCAATAATATTAATTCTTCAATAAATACCACACATACTATTATTTACATAATTACTATATAAATATTTAAAATTTTCTTATAAAAAATTACAACATCCCGTGCTTGTCAAGCATGGATCGAGATCTAGTATTTTATCATAGAACCCTCCTGTAGTGGTCAACGTTTACCAAATCTGAGTTCATAAAAAATAGAGAAAATTAGACATCCGGATGAACCAGTAAAAAACACAAATCCTATTAGATATCCTTATTAGAATTAGGGTTTCATGAGCTTTAAGTTGTAATAAAAAGGAGAGATATACATACCCTTTATTTCTTCTGAAGAATTGTTTATAGTTGGTACCATATTTGATCTTCGTGATTTCATCTGCTAACAAAGCATGTATTTACTGTTCCAAAAAGGAGACAAATAGAATTTAGATGCGGATGTTTAGAGAAAATTTGTAGAAAATAATGGATAATCAGTTAAATATTATAGCTAGTAAAACTAAGCTTTAGCCAAAACAATTAAAATACATGAGAAGAAGAAATAATAACTCAGAGATTAAAAATCACGTCAAAAAAAAGAAGAAACAAAAAATTTGTGATGATTTTGCTTATTGCTATCTATTTATAAGGAGAAAGTCGGTCAAGAAACCTAGAGTTTGTTCCTTTTTTTTCCAAAATTGTGGCGCGATAATATGGGAGTTAGGGTTTTTATCTTTAATTTTTTTAATGAACAATCAAATTCGTAAATAATAACAAAAAGTAAAATTTGAAGATTTTATCAAGATTTTCATTAATTCTGTAATTCCGAGGCTGAGATTGAATGTGGTGCCTCTAAACGAAATTTTTACTTCGCAAATAATAGTATGAATTAGAGACATCTCATAGTAGAAAAAAATAGAATGTATGATATATCCATATTTTACATGTGGCTTTTATGCCCAAAAAGTAGTTTTCTTGTATATTTTGATTTTGAGTATCACATAGATAAAAATGGCAAAGAAGATGTTAAAATGGAGCAAAAGGAGCCTAATGCCCAAGTCTAGCTAAGTTCGCAAGTCTAGAGCACCAAAATTACATTTCTCGCTATAAGGCAGAACCGGAGCACCCGAAGTTTTACCATGCAATCATGCCTTCCCTACGTTAAAAAATCACGATTTTGGTCTTGAAAGATAGATACTTGAGTCATGCACCGCGTCGAAGTGTAAATAGGTAATTTGGATCAACCATCAGGGAGAAAAATATTTTCTACCAAAACATGTCTGGTTAGTGATAAGATGAAGTCCATGGAAGATTTAGTGTGTCTCACGGCCCGGTTCAACGCGGAAAAGGCCTTGGTTTGTATTTATATTGGCCTGGATCAACTAAGAAGGCTTCCTTGGCCCGAAGTCGGCCTGTTCAAGAACTTGGAGAGCAAGCTCAAGCGGCTGAAGAGAAATGAAATTTCTCTTCTAGGCGTGCCTCAACTCCGCCGACCTAGACCCTCTCATCTCCTATATATACTTGCTTTTAGCCTCTTGTTCAACAATCCTATTTTCATTACAGAAATCTCAATAAATTTCGGAGCCACTTAGGTGGTCTCCTTGTTCTTCTTTTCTCTTTTCTTTTCTTAGAGATAACTTGCATGTTTTGATTTATTTTAAGTCTAGAAGTAGAGATTTCTCCCTAAGGTTAAGATGCGGTTTGGTTATTATCTCTCTGCCTCTCTTCCTATGGATCTATGAGATCTCTTATACTCTCTATGACTCGTTATTGGATTATGGATCCTTCAATGAGGACATGAATAATGCCTTCGAGAAATCGGTTGTTAAATAAAGGGGAAACCCTATAGGTTCTCCATCTTTATTTGCGCCTAATGCTTGTTGCTAGAGTAGCTAACTAGTGACTCGATCCTAGGTTGATATACTCTCCAAAAGCTTGTAATATCTCCGGATATAGTATTTGATGGGCAAATCGTTTTAGGCTATGAAA